CATGGGAAATTTGCCTTACAGAAGGTAGATCAATCTATCAACTTGAATTTCCCTGATGGAAGCTAGAAAATACATATGCCAGACCAGCATCTTTTGTCTTCAGTGCTCAGTCCTCTATCTGTGATTTCATCCCAACCTTTAAATCTTTGGAAATATGATTTATTTTTAGAGCCAAGCCAAATGATCAGTTTCTGGTGCTAGGCATAATGTAGAATTCCACCTTTGCTTTCTCTCACAGAAGGGAGGATGTGTATTCAACCTCAGATAGTGATGAGAAATTCATGTCCAACTGCAGTCTTCTGTGTCATGTGGCTGGATCACTGGTATGGTTGGTCCTTACCTGTTTGGGGTGTGGGAAGTAGGGCCAGGCTACAAAATCAAGTGAAAAAAATGAGTGCTTTTATGTACAGGAGTTAGCTTTTCACTGGGTATCATTAGGGATGGCCTAACTATTAAAAAAAATAAAAAACATTCATTCAAAAAGATATATGTACCATTATATTCATTGAAGCATTATTTACAATAGCCAAGATATGAAAACAACTTAAGTTCTTCTTGATATATGAATGGATAAAGATGCGTGTGTGCGTGCACACATGTGTTGGTATCTGTACATGCATGCAATGGAATACTACTTAGCTATAAAAAAGATGAAATCTTGCCATCTGTGACAACATGAATGAATTTTGAGGGACTTATGCTAAGAGAAATAAATCTGAAGGAAGAATACAAACACTGTATGATTTTTATATTCTACACTCACATGTAGAATATAAGTAAAGCAAATGAACAAATGAAACAAAAACAAACCCTTAGATTCTAACAACAGAATGATGATTATTAGTGGGGAAGGAGTTGGGGCTGGATGGGTGGAAAAAGTAGAGGGGGTTGATCAAATGGTATGAGTGGTAACTAGATCTTTGCTGGTGGCCATGGTGTGGTACATGCAGATGTGAAACTGTACACCTAAAACTTACACAACACTGTAAACCTTTGTTCCACAGGACACCTTTAAACCTATGTTACTTCAGTTTTAAAAAAAGTACATAAAAGCCTGAAGAAGGTAAAGCCCTCTATAAAAGAATTTTCTCGACTCTGATACTTGCTAACTTTACTTTTCCTAAAAATTGTCATATACTTAATGACAGTGCTGATTAAAGATTTAGAGAAATTTTTATATGTGTGATTTCCATGATATTTTGGCCAGGTAGGTGACACGTTTTAGGTTTGACTGAGCTGTATCCATATGTGAAAGGCACAGAACATAAATAAGGGGTGAACCAGCAGAGAGACGAGGCAGCAGAGTCCCACTCATTGAGCAGCACCGTCTGCCAGGACCTCCGGACTTGGCAGTGAGTCACAGAGCAGCCAGGCGACTTACACTTAAACACAAAAGTTCATCTAGAAGCTTGCTCTTCAGAGTGTGTTCCATGGAACTCGGAGCTTCTTGGAAATATAAATCACAGAGGCTCAGCTAGACCTACTGAATCGAGATTTACGTGCACGTGAAAGTTGGTGAAGAAGTGGCTTAGGTTTTATAACCAACTCTTAGTTTACTTACTATTAACACAATGGGTCAGATCATTCATTCACATAAATTTTCACTCTTCTCTTTGGTCTTGGGATGGAGATCCAAAGACATAGTATGGTTTTCCAGGTCAACCTCTCTCTGGCATTGTCCCTGTTGCTGATTGACTTCCAGCAACTGGTCATCCTGCCCCACAACCTATATTTTGATTCAGACCTTTGTTCTGACCTTTGCTCTACAGAACACCTTCCTTCTCCCTGTCACCTTTCCTTATTTTTTTTTAAAGATTATTTATTTATATATATTTTATATCATTGTTCATTTTTGGACAATGTTTTCTCTTCCTCTCAGGGGTAATCCCTGTAAAATTCCCACCACCAATTCACCCGTGTACCATCACCATAGTCCCTTGTGCTCTTCCCTCCCTTGTTTTGATCTCTCTCCCCCTCCCCTGCAGAATGTCTCTGATTTACAGTTTGACTGTTAATTTTGTTTTTATTGTTATTATTTTTCCCCCTGACCCCTTATTTGGTTCTCCTACATTCCTCCTATAAGTGAAACCATCCAATATTTTTCTTTTTCCTTCTGGCTTATTTCACTGAGCATAATTCCTTCCAGCTCCATCCATGTTGCTGTGAATGGCATGACTTTATCTTTTTTGATGCTGAATAGTATTCCATTGTGTGTATATACCGCATCTTCTTGATCCAGTTGTCTATTTTCGGGCGTTTGGGTTATTAGTGTCCTGTGGCTGCCATAAGAACTACAGATCACATGGTTTAAACAGTAGAAGTTTGTTGGCTCACAGTTTTGGAGGCTAGCAAGTCCAAAATTGAGGTGTTTGTAGGGCTATTCTCCTCCAGGGGCTCTCGGGAGCAACTGTCCTTGTCTTTTCCACCTTCTGCTGGCTCCAGGCTCCTCCTGTGTCAGTACATTCCAGTCTCCGCCTCTGGCGATAAGCGCTGTCTTCCCTCTGTGTCTAAGTCTTCTCATGGTGTTTTCTCCATGTGTCTATACCTAGATCTCCCACTTCTTATAAGAACATTAGGTTCCTGTGAGCTTCCGGTCACATTTTCATCAGTTGATCAATGTATAATCAATGAACAATGTATAATTGTTTAAACATCCTGTACTGTTTGTTAATATATTAACATTAAACTCACACCCCACGACACTGTTGCTCGTGCTTGAAGGAAGCTCACCTCTTGCACATCTTGTCTTCACAAGGCACCTTACAACCTTGCGTACTGATTAACCCTAGACCGCATTCCAGGCAGACCTCTCTTGGGGGACAGTTGAAGTCACCTATAAGACCCAGGAAAATTTGCACTAAATAGAGCATGAAAAGCACACTGTGGGCCTCACCTGTGACATGTGTATGAGATGACTCAAGCTTTTCACTTTTGTGTGGAGATGTTAATTTTGATTTTATAGGATTATAAAAGACTCACCAGAGGTGGAGTTCCTAGTCTCTAGGAACTTAGTTTGGTTAGGAAGCGAGGCTGCGCTCAGTTGAAAGGTTCATTGCAATGTTTGATTTTCATACGAGCAGCGTAAGATCAGTGAAGATCAGTGTGGTAGCTGAAGAGTTCCTCGGGCTGGAGTGGTCTGGGACTGCCTGGTGGAGCAGGAGGGTGGAAGCTGAATCTGGGAGGCTGGGTAAGGATTGGGAAGGAGGAGCAGAGGGCATGGTATGAGCAAGGGACAGGGGAGGGTCTGTAGCAATGCATGGGTCAGAACTGGGAGGATGGCCAAGAGAAAGGAGGTGTCTTCAAGGCAGAGAAGTGTGGCCCCAGGTAGTTCATGTGACGACGCTTATACTCTGGCATGAACTGGGGTGCGGGCATAGAGGTGAGCTAGGAGAGAGAGTGATTGAGATTTTTTTTTTATCTTGGTCCAGATTCGTCTGAATAGAATTCTCAGAGCTCATGTTTTGGAGGAGGAAATGAGTGAAGAAGAATAGACAGCTAAGGGCTGAAAAGAGAATTATGTAACACTACCCATGAAATCCTATAGAATGGAAACTTGAATCGGCCCCGCCGTTCCCTTTGAATCTGTGTTAAATTTAAATTTCCATGTAAATAGGGTGAACAAAGTAGACAGTACTTTGTTAGTCATTCCGTTCTGGATATATTTGGCCAAGGGAAAGACCTCCCTAGAAATGTTTCCAGAAGGAGGGGTGAGAGGCACATGGGCTGCTAGGGGAAAGGTCTTTAGACCATGGAACCCTTTTAGAAAGTAAGTTCCAAGGAAAAGGAAGGATGATAGCAGATCAAAGGGGGAGGTTTTGTTTTTTTTTTTTAACTGAAGAAAGGTCCTTGAGGGAGTGAATAAGAGATTGTATCGAAGCATAAAACTGAAGCCTGAACAAGATGATGGTGAGCTCAGAAAGTAAACAGAATGAGTCAGGAAATAATGTCCGCCGGGGGAAAGACCTTGGACCCAAGTGAATGGAGTCCTTTAGAGCCTTAGGTGTCAGTACTGGGGTTCAAAGCATTTATGGAACCCACCTAACCTAAAGGATTGAAATGGTTTTAGTAACTCTGTCCCACAACAGCTCTTTTGCTCTGTCTCCCCTTGGTTCTTGGAAGGATAATTTCCAAAGGTCCTGTAAAACCCTGCGCCTCTGGACACCTGATATATTGAAGGTGTTGCTGTCAACATAGCTGGGCTCAGAGGTTTAAGATCCTGCTTTAGCCAAGTGTAGTGCAACCACCCCAGGCCAGGCAGGTTCATTGTTGATGTGGGCAAATGGAAAAGAATTTTGGAGTCAGTAGATTTGACAGGTCTTTAATGCTGGAGCAGGGAACTGGGTACACATAGGCAGACCAGCGGACGTGGGGGGGGGGGGCGGTGGGGGGCAGTGGGGGGTGCTGGGAGGCAGGCAGCAACCTCTGTGCCTTCCTCTGGCTTCCTTCTGGCTTTTTGCCTCTATCTCTGCCTAGGTGTCTGCGTTTATATACGCTTGCACCTTACGCTCTGGTACATCTCGGCCTGGTTGTCCGTAATCATAGGTGCCGTGCCCCATGCTCACACTCCCAAGTGATTTTGCATCAGTGCGATGTCACGTGTGGGTAGTGAAACCTGGGAGGAAAACAAAGCTGCAGTGGCGCCATACAGGCTCATGCAGGAAGGGGAAAAAGAGCCTGACTAATTCCATTTTCCTTACAGCAAGGTCACACTGGAGGGGTCGGCCTTCTGCCTAGCTGGGTTCCTGCCAATCCAGGTCTCCTCTGTCCATGAGGCCCTCTCAGCTGAGAGCAGGCATTGCCCCCATGGAAAATGAGCAGAATGCTCACGCAGGAGTGTTGGCTCTAGGGCAGAGCTCTCCATGCATGCACTCCCCAGCCCCAGCCCTCCTGTGCACTAGGCTGTGTGATTTTTGAGGGAGAGAAAGTACAAAGGGGTCAGACCTTCTCGGTGCGGACATGTCATGGCAGAGATGCCTAAAGTGTGTTCTCTTCTGCCAAAGGGCACCATGCCAGTGGAAAGGATGCGGATGCGCCCGTGGCTGGAGGAACAGATCAACTCGAATACGATACCGGGGCTAAAGTGGCTTAACAAGGTAAGTGTGGTGGGTGCCTGTGGGTCAAGAGGGCGAGAGGGGAGAGGCTTCCTGGACTGTCACACACACACATCTAGCCCCAGCGGAAGTCATTCTCTTGTGTTCGGAATCGTATGCTTGTACATTACAAACAGCAGCCAGCTAAAAATGATCATGAGAAAATTCAGGGTATCAGACATCAAGAAGACGTTTCTACCCTCATCTCAGACTGTAGCATCGGCCCTGAGTTATGACCTCCACCCACCTGTGGGCTTTTAGGTGCGGCTGAGAAGCTTCCTGCTGTATTTTTTCTCAGTGAGTCTCACCCTCTTCCTTCTCTACACTGTTCTTACTCCTCCTGGCTTTTTAGGATTAGGGGATGTGGAAGCTCTAGGGTTTCCAATATCGGGAGTGGCTGATAGTGACTTTTTTCATTCTTCATGGTGTGGGAAACTTGGGCTTTGTCTTTAAGATGAGTCTTTACCGGGAAATGCTTTTGTGCACCGACCTGTCCTAAAAAAAAGTAGTCTCTGCACTGCTTCCTTACTAGATCAACTTCGGTAGGCTCAGCTGTCTGTTAGGGGTAAATCAGGAAGAGATTGTCTGTAAAAGTTAACAACATGTGGCAAAAATATAAATGAATTGGATTTCCATGTATTGAAACTTGAAAAGGTATAGGCATCAGCTAGAAAAGTGACTAACCTAGCATGCCTTCTTTCAGAGGGCCCAAGGGAGAATTTTCTCTTCCACTACAAGGAACAGTTACAACTCTTCTGAGCAGATTTCTATTTCCTCTTCTGCTTCTCCCATCTTATTTTAATTTTGAGACTGTGATGAATAATTTAGCTGCTCAGGCTTTATCTCTGTATCACATGCTCCTGAGCTTAGACCCAAGTGGTGGCCTGATTCTAGCAAGTGGACAGAGCAGTACAGGATGACTGGTTTCATTTATTTATTTTTAAACTTGCCTACTTTTTTTTTAAGGTTTATGTATTTATGCATATAAGAGCTGGGGAACAGGCCAGAGGTGCAGGGGGGTGAGAGGATTCACAGAGACAGAGTGGGGAGCAGAACAGGTGATTGAAACACACTGCTGAGGGGAGCAGCGGGCACAACAGGAGAGGTCTGCTGCACCATGTGGGTCACCTCCCTGGCTGAGGTTCGAACTCGTACTGCAGTCGCTGCGGATTGCCTCATAGTGCTGATGCTTAGCCCCTTGTGCCACCAGGGAGGCCCATGACTTTTTTTTTTTTTTGAAAATTAATATCCCTCCAGGCTTCGTTTTCTTTTTGTTTGTTTTCCCTCATTCACTTATTTTCTTCAGTTATTTTAAATTTTATGATGTTCCATGTGAGCCTGTTTAAGGGAGTTCTTCCTGAAACAGGGTGGGGTAGGAAATAAATAGAAAGAAACAAATCATATGCTCACTCCACATGGCCTCTCACCTATCCTGACACAATATATGGCTCCCAATATAGTGTTCTCAGCTTGCTGTATCTATAATGTTTGAGATTTGTATTCTGGAAGGGCTCTTCCAAAGAAGCAGATAAGCAATCAGGTTGTACTTTGGCCTGCTCATAGGGAGTTACGAGGAAAGGGGCGATGAGAAGAGAGTTGAGGAGACAGTGGGCAGTCAGTAAAGTAATGATAATGATAACACTAATCACAATGTAATAACTAACAGTTAAGTGCCAGTTACTACACTAAGCAAGACATGCATTATGGGCCTCCCTGGTGGTGCAAGGGTTGAAAAGCAACCTATGAAGCAATCCGCAGCCACTGCAGCTCCAGTTCCGTCCATGGCCGGGGAGCAACCCAATTGGTGCAGCAGACCTCTCCTGACTCGTCTGCTGCTCCCCTCAGCAGTGTGTTTCAGTCAGTCTGCCTGTTCTGCTCCCCACACTGTCTCTGGTGAATCCTCTCATCCACCACATCTCTGGCCTGTGCCCCAGATCTTGTATGCATAAATAAATCTTAAAAAAAAAAAAAAGACACATGTATTAGCTAACATAACCCCCAACTATGAGGTAGGTAATTTATCTTTTCTATTTTACAGAGGAGGAAACTGAGTCACAGAGAGATTAAGTAAGATTACATTTGGAAGAACAGATACTATTGCCTGTGTTGGTTTAGAGTGTGAATTTAAAGCAAATGTTTCTGAATTCTGAAGAGAGAAGTAAGCTGGTTTTGCTTTTTCTTTTCTGAGGTATATCCACCACATCCTAGCCCCCAGAATCTGTAGCTAGGGCCTATTTGGAGAAGGGGTCTTTGCAGAGATCTCAAAATGAGATCATCCTGCATAATCCAGATGTCCCCATCCCATGACATGTCCTTACAAGAGACGGAAGAGAATACGACACAGAAAAGAAGGGGGCAGAGATTGAAGCAATGCAGCCACAAGTCAAGGGGGGGCTAGAACCCCCAGGAGCTGGAAGAGGCAAGGAAAGATTCTCCTTAGTGCCTTTGAAGGGATCACAGTCTTGCTGACATCTTGATGGAGATTTCTAGCCTCCAGAGCAGTGGTAGAACAATCTTCTGTGGCTTTGAGCTGCCCCATTTGTGTCCATTTGTTGTGACAACTCTAGGAAACGAACGTACTCTCAGCATCATTTCCTTATGGGGACTCTCCCAAGACACCTTTCTTCCGTCCACTTTGTCCAGGTTTTTCTCTCTTCCCTCTGCCATCTCATCTGGCGTCTCCCCTAAAGCTGGCTTCAGCCAGGCTGAAGGAAGGGGAGCATGCCAGTCACCACAGCAGGTGGCCCTTCTCAGGATGACACTGGCACAGGGGTCCATGGTCAGGCAGGTCTTTATCTGGGACCTGCCGGGTGTGGCTGTGTGGCCGCATGTGGGCAGTGCTGTTGCTGTCACTGTCGGGTGGGCTGGGGCATTTCCTCTCCATATCCCCACCACCACAGGGTATCTCTTTATAGGTTGCTGCTCACTTATGTCTGTTGGCTAAGCTTAAGTTACATCATCCCTGTAAATATTTAACTGAGACCTTAATATTATTTTCTTCCTCATTCATAAGCATTTCACCTAAGAATCTGTTTGTAGTTTGAGTGCTTTGAGATCATTTCAAAATCTCTTCTTCCACTAAAGACTATTTTAACTCTTTGTATGGGCACTTTCTGTAGGGTTTTGTCATTCACATATGCCTTGCCACGTTCAGAATGGGTGGTATTAAAGCAATTTCCTTACGGTGTCATCTGTTCAACAAGAATATTTTCGATTTTTTCATATCATTTCTGCACTGTTTATATTCTCAATGGCTTGAATGTTTCCAAAATGTCTTTTTCCAGTTGATGCTTCAGTCAGATCCAAAGAAAGCCCACAGGGTCTGTTTGGTTGTTCTGGTTTGCAGTCTCCGCATCGTGGACATACTCTCTCCTTTTCCCTTCTTGTCGTTGACTTGTTGAAGCAGTCATTCTGGATTTGTCCAAGTGCTTGCATGTGGTTTCCTTGTGCCTTTGATACTTGAGGGAGGCAAGAGGCAGCCACTTCCAGGTTCTTCTCTCTCAGTTGGTTCCCATGCTAGTTTTTGATGCTCTTATTTGCTGCTGGAGATCTGTGTGGACCCAGGAGGTGGCCACTCTCCAAGCACAAGAAGTGAATGGGTAGTTCAGACCTTTCCCTCTTCATCACTTTGAAAGCAGGCTTGTGTTTGTGCAATTATGAGGCTATCTCAGAACAGGGTAAGAAGTCCTGACAGAAACATAGCAAACTAAATCAGAACATCTTGTAAATATGGAAGAGAGAGGGGTAGAGGGAGATAAGAATTAGTTTCCACTTGGGGTCAAGGTACATCTGTTCTCATTGCCCAACGTAATCTTAAACCTGCTTCTCAGCTCAAGCAGTGCTTATCTCTCCTGCCTTTGGTGGACTGTGTAGAAACACGAGTGGTCTCGGGTACGTGCAGTTCTTCAGTGCATGGTGTGTACAGACACCACATGCACAGATTGGGCACTCAGGGCTTCTGATGGTGGTGCCCGCTGATGTCACAGAGTCTACAGACACAGAGCACCACCTTGATCGTCCCACAGAAATGCTTACTGCTCAGAATCCTTCAGTTTGAATTTTTTTCATTCCTTCATATAGTCATATTTATTTCATTTTATTCATTCTAGAGATACATATATATTCTAGAGATACATACATATCTGCACACACACAATTTTGTATCATTTTTATTGAGTTAACATTGGTTTACAACACTATGTTTAGGGGTGCAGGTTCACACCTGTTCAGATGGATATTACCACACCATACCCACCACCCAAACACCAGAAATCCTCTGCTGTAGTCTATTTGGATCCCTTCCTTTACGTCCCCTCTCTTACCTCCCCTTCTGGTAGCCTCAATTCTTCTGTCAGATTTCTAGAGTTTGTTTTGGTGTAATTTGGTGTGTTCCTCTGTATTCCACATCTGCGTGAAATCATCCAATGTTTGTCTGTCTTCTAACTATTTCATTTAGCATAATCCCTTCCGGTTCTAGCCTTGTCACAGATAGCAAGAGTTGATCCTTTTTAAAAATAGCTGATTAGTGTTCCATTGTATTTATACCACATCTCCTTAATCCATCATCTATCATTAGGCACTTAGGTTGTTTCCATACCTTGGCTATTGTAAATAGTTCTGCAGTGAACATAGGAGTGCACACATCGCTTCAAATTAGTGTTTTTGTATTCTTTGGGTAGATACCTAGGAGTGAAATTGCTGGATTGTATGGAAGGTCTGTTTTCAATATTTTGAGAAACCTCCATGTTGTTTTCCATGGGGCTAGGCTACTCTACATTCCTAACCTATAGCGTGTGAAGTTTCCTTTTTCTCTGCATCCTCGCAAACACCTGTTGTTTCTGGTCTTTTTGACATGGGCCATTCTCACAGGTGTGAAGTGCTTATCTCGTTGTGGTTTTGATTTGCATTTCCCTGATGATAAGCAATGATGAGCATTTTTTTTTTTCATGTGCCTGTTGGCCATCTGTATGTCTTCTTTGGAGAAGTGTCTATTTAGCTCTTCTGTTCACTTTTTTTTTTTGATTGGGTGATTTGTTTTCTTGTTAATGAGTTATATGAGTTCTGTATAGATCTTAGAAAATAACTCCTTGTTGGATGTATTAAGTGCAATTATTTTCTTCCATTCATTAGGGTATCTTTTTGGTTTTAATGATAGTTTCTTTCACCATTCAGAATCATGTTAGTTGTTTGTAGTCCCAATTGTTTGTTTTTGCTTTTGTTTTCCCTGCCCCTGGAGTCAAGAACCCAAGACATCATTGAAGCTTATATTGCAGGAGTGTTTTCTTCTATGCCTTTTATGGTTTCATGTTTTTCATCTGTTTTTTTCCATTTTTGTGTTAATTTTGTGTATGGCGGGAGACAGTGGTCTACTTTCATCCTTTTGCATTTGGCTGTCTGGCTTTCTCACTTAGCGTGAAGTTTTCAAGATTCATTCATGTGGTAGCATGTATCCTTTTGTGGCTGAATACTATTCCATTTTTTAAATATAATTTATATATATATATATATATTTTACATCATTCTTCCTTTTCATACAATGTTTGCTTTCTCCTCTCAGGTGTAGTCCCCATAGAATTCCCACCACCAATTCACCTGTGCACCATCACCATAGTCCCTTGTGATCTCTCTCTCTCTCTCCCCCTCCCCAGCAGAATGTCTCTGATTTATAGTTGCCTGTTAATTTTGTTTTGTTTTTATTTCCCCCCCCCCGATCCCTTATTTGATTCCCCCATATTCCTGCTATAGGTGAAACCATCCAATATTTTTCTTTTTCCTTCTGGCTTATTTCACTGAGCATAATCCCTTCTAGCTCCATCCATATCGCTGCGAATGACATCAGTTTATCTTTTTTGATTGCTGTATCTTTTTTGATTGCTGAATAGTGAATACTATTCATTTTATGCAAGTACAACATTATCTTTATCCATTCATCAGTTAATGGACATTTACGTTATTTCTACCTATTGCAAGTAGTGCTGCTATGAATGTTAATATATGTTTTTGTTTGAACACCTGTTTGTAAGTCTTTGAGTAAATATAAAGGAAGTGAAATCAGTGGGTCATGTGAGAATTGTGTTTAATTTTTTAAGGACTGACCAAATGTTTCATAGTCACTTTATATTATCACCAGTAATGTATGAGGCTTCCAGTTTCTCCATATCTTCACCAACATTTGTCATTTTCTGTTTCTTTATGCTTACCATCTTGGTGAATGTGAAATAGTATCTTTTTTTCGATTTACATATCCCCAATGCTTAATAACTATATAATCATTTCCTTATTGGTCTTTTATTTATTTTCTTTGGAGAAAAGTATGTGTAGGTCCTTTGCCCATGTCAACAGAATCCATAGTGGGTGTTGTTAGCTTCAGTCTTCACTGTTTTTTCATCCCTTTCATGTGGTTTCTGTGAGACAAGGCTTGTGTGTGTGTGTGTGTGTGTGTGTGTGTGTGTAAGGGTGGTTACAAATGCTTGAAAAATTGTACTTATCAGAATCAACTTTGTGTCTTGTGAGATAGATTTTAAATTGTGTCAGAACTCCGTGTGTGTGTGTGTGTGTGTGTGTGTGTGTGTGTGTGATGGTTACAAATGCTTGAAAAATTGTACTTATCAGAATCAACTTTGTGTCTTGTGAGATAAATTTTAAATTGTGTCAAAACTCCTTTGACCTAGAAAAAAGTACATCAGCAAATTCTTTAAGGGTCTTTATCTTTAAGCATGAAGCTTTTAGTTTCTGGTTCTACACTTTAGGAAATGTTCTTTCAATGAAATCATTTCTTTCCATTTTTACTCATTTTCATATGAACATCAAATACTGCAGTAAGAGAATTTGCTCTCTGATTTTCATTTATACTGAAAAAAAAAATTTACTCAACCTTTACTGATCACTGCCCTTTTGAAAATGGCTAACCCGAAACCCTCTTGTCTATGTAGAGGACACAGAATGAACAAAGAATTTATGAAAAGTCTCTTACTTTCAGTTCTTTATTAACTGAGTTTCAAATACAGTAGAATTTTCCCTTTTCACCACTTTTGGGGAACTCTTAAGTATTCTGAAATAGTTTTAGTTTGGACTTGATAATTACCTCTGTGGTGAGGCAGTGAGCCCCTTTTCAGTCCATTAGGCTCCTTTCTGTCTCTATTGACGTTGTGAGACCAAAGTGACGGAAAACCCCTACTGACATTTTCTTTCCTTCCCCAGGGTGTTGTGCAGGGATTCCCATACCTGGAAATTATCTGAACTACCTTGAGAGTTTTTAAAAAAATACAGTTTTCCTGAGCTTTCATCTCCGTTGAGTGCAAGTCAACATATCTCTCATAAGACAGGAAATCTTCTAACTCTAAACTCTGGGAGACATTGTGTGGTGAAACTAAGTGACTGAGTGTGGGATCACATAACCTCAGTTTTAAATTTAGACATTTATTACCATAAGTACCTTGGCTTAGTAATTTAATTCTGTTCCTCAGTTTCCTCACTATATGGAAATAACATTATACAAAGCTCATATGAACTCAGAATCAGAACTGAGAGCATGTGAACTTCAATAGTTGTGGGAAGACCACAGATCTTGGTAACTGCTGGTACCATCTGAAGAGCTGGTTGGACCAGATTCACATGTGTAGTTTTCCTGTGGGACCAAGTTTCCAAAACAGTAGTTTGTCAGGGTTGATTTAGGCAATTTTGAGTTAGCATTCAGGCTCTAAGAGCCAGGCAGGGTCTGAGAATAGAAGATCTATATTGAAGAACATTTCTCTAGAAAAAGAATATCATCGCCACATAATCTATATTTTTTTTTTCCTACTTGATGTATTTCATGCAGGGCAGTTGCCATGTAGGGGATAGAACATTGGACAAACTCTTCTATATCTCTTGGCCACACAACAGATTGAGATATTTAGTTTCCGTGACACTTATGTCCTTCCAGCAGCCCCAGTGGGTGTTATTTTGGAAAGTTGCCTAATTTGAAATTTACCTAAGGCAGATGGAGTTCCACGTTATCCAATGATGGGAGTAAATGATACAAATATGCATTAGAAGTGTCAATCAGTGGCCAGTGTTCTGTGGTCTTAGCAAGAGAACACAGTGGCAGACCCCAAATCATCGCTTTTGACTCTGTGTTTGCAGACTTGGCATGGCACTGAATCTCATCCAGCTGGATGGCAAAGATTTGGGGCCTAGTGAGGTAGCGGGTTTTATTTACAGTAGATTTTACTGTAGTGATACTCAGTGGGGAATCTTACTAGCTAGAACTTAAGAAACCTGTGTAATGGGGGACTGAGAACCACCACGATGATTATCGACCTTTTTTATTTTCAGGAAAAGAAGATTTTTCAGATACCCTGGATGCACGCGGCTAGACATGGGTGGGATGTGGAAAAAGACGCACCGCTTTTTAGAAACTGGGCAATCCACACAGGTATTAAAAACCCCTGCATCATTTACAGAGGCGGGTGCTGTTGTTTTCATGTCTTTTTTTTTTTTTTTAAGAATTATTTATTTATGCATACAAGAGCTGGGGTATAGGCCAGAGGTGGGGGGTGGGTGGGTGTGAGAGGATTCACCAGAGACAGAATGGGGAACAGAACAGGCAGACTGACTGAAATACACTGCTGAGGGGAGCAGCAGGCGAGACAGGAGAGGTCTGCTGCGCCATGTGGGTAGCTTCCTGGCCGGCCGGGAATTGAACTCAGGCTGCAGAGGCTGCGGATCGCCTCACAGTGCTGTGCTTAACCCCTTGCGCCACCCGGGAGGCTCCAGGACCACACAATTGTTTAGAACTGACCTTGAAAAACATGCCAGGTATTCTGATTTTCAACCTAGAAAAAATGATTAAAAAATCAGTGCATCCCAGGAACCTTCTCAGACTCTTTTGCTCTGTATCTAACTTTCCCCTTCTTTTTCTTAACCCTTTGGCTCTTTTGTTAGGAAAGCATCAACCAGGAGTAGACAAACCGGATCCAAAAACGTGGAAGGCGAATTTCCGATGTGCCATGAACTCCTTGCCAGATATTGAGGAAGTTAAGGATAAAAGCATAAAGAAAGGAAACAATGCTTTCAGGGTGTACCGGATGCTGCCCTTGTCGGAGCGACCCTCCAAGAAAGGTAGACCAAGAGAGCTACCTACTGAAGCAGTGACTGCTTTGTGTGCAGTGTAGTGCCTTGGTGGTCTCTATTAGTTCGCAGTAGTGATGGCAAGGATAGGACACCTGTTCACGCTGTGGGTGGTGATTACCTGCCTGGGGAAAGGACTCTCTGGTTCCCAAGGGCAGGAAAGGAAACATCTGAAATTTTGGGCATGTATAGAAGAAAGCAACAGGCTCACTGAGAGTTTTAGAAAGAACTTACGGGAAATGTTTCTCTCTGTGTTCTTCATGAACTCATCCACAATTGTTTTCTGTTGTTCCAGGAAAGAAACCAAAGACAGAAAAAGAAGACAAAGTTAAGCATATCAAGGTAATCCTTGGTTTAGAGAGAAGCCCCAGTCCTGACCATGTTAATTTGTATTGTGTTTCATAAAACCAAGTAATACGATCTCTGAAGTAGTTCATCGTTCTTATTTGGCTATTGTATTTTATGTGCATTTCATGTGTCCTCTGGGGCATGTACCCACTTGCCAATTCAAGGAGACATATCCCTGCTTAATCCAGCTTCATCGGCAATTTATGAATGAAGTCACAAATTCACACTGAGCTTGAACTCTCCAGCCTCCATCTGCTTCCCTTGACTACTGCCAGCTGGCCACTTAGTTCCAGCAAAGTCTCTGCAGCCAGCTTTCTGATAATATTAAGTATATTTGCAGGCTATTAAGTATGTTAATATGTATTGAATCATATAAACTTATATTAGAATTATCAAGTATGTTTTATATAAGCACTCTGTTAGTGATGCTCCATAGTTTTGTTTTGCTCCACTATTGAATCACCTCTCATAATGTCCAAAGGGGATGTGTTGGTATAAGTGAGTTTTTCAGTAGGCTGTGTGGTCTGAACTGCCCACCAGTAGGAGATCTTTGTGTGTAGGTTAGGTGGCAAGACAGTAGTCAGTTATCCCGTGAAAATTGAGCATGAGCTTCATTGCTAAACATAGAGCAGACCCTGCAGTCCCAGGCTCAGGGACCATCTGAGAGACTATATAAGGTTGACACTGCTCCATTTGCAGACGAAGAAATTAGACGTAAGAGAGTTGAATGACGTGACCCCAAGGGCGTGGGACACATGGCCAAGGCCACACAATTATTTAGAACTGAACTTGAAGGAGATGCCAAACATTCTGATTTTTAATCTAGAGTAGCTGTTAACAAAAAACCCAAACTGTCCAGTTAGCACAGTATTTAAAAACAAGCTAGTTAGTCAAAATAGTTAGAAAAAAGTACCCTCAAAAATTCTTTCAGATAAAAAGTTAGGCTTGGGAAGGTGGGTAGAGTTTGGGGAAAACCTTTGATAAACTGTTTCAGGCCTGTTTACCTCCACCATGGAAAATAAATATTCTAGGAAGAGTATTTTAGCAGCGATACTTACAGTTTCACTTTCATTATTTTTAGTTTGTGACTTATTTTTGTTATTTTAAAAATAGCACAATTAAGGCCTAATTTTTGTTTGATTTTTCACTGTGGAAAAATTGTATACAGAAAGAAAGGAGAAAAATGAGTAAAGCTTACTCATTATCCCCAATTTCAACATTAATCAGCTCATGGCCAATTTTATTTCATTATTACCTTTACTCACTTCCCTGCATCCAGGGTAAAATTATAAATACTCCCTTGTTTTTGACTTAAAAAAACAATTTCATTTGGTTCAGTTCCAAATATTTAGAAGCCAACTCTCTATATTATGTCATGTCTTCCATAAATATTTTAGTATATATCTTTGAGAGATAAGCACTCTTTTCTTTTCAAAAATTTTTATTGAAATAAGATTAGTTTATATTATTATGTAGGTGTCAGGTGTATATATATCATTATAAATCCACATTTGTATATACTACATTATATTCACCACGAAAACTCTTAATTCTGTCTTTCACCTTTCAGTTGACCCCTTTCCTTTGGCTCCTGTTAACTCTGTGATAAGCATTCTTTAGACGCAGCATGGTATCATTTTATTGCAGCTAAACAAATGAACAGTAATCCCTCAAATAGCCAGTCAGTGTTCAGATTTCCAGTCTCCTAAATGTTACAACTTTTGCATGATTGGTTTACTTAAATCAAGATCCACGTAAAGTCCTCATGGAATAATTTTTGAATATGTGTCTTAAGGGTTTTTTTTTTAATTTGTAGTTTTCCTTTACATCATTTAATTTTTTTCCCCCTATAACTGAAAATCTAGTTATTAGTTTTATCATGTTTCCCACAGTTTGGATTTTTTTTAATGACCTACATTTGATAAGTGTTGATTAGTAGTCAGAAAAGTGTAACTTCCCCACAGATATGTGATTTTGAAGAATTTGCTGTAACCTTAAGTATGATTTTTCTCCTGCTGTAATTTTCATAGCCTGTCCCTCAGGGCTTGGTAGGGAGCAGATAATCGATACATGTTTAATCACTAGATAGGTGCATGGATTTTTGTTGGTTAAATAGATTAAAATATATATATATATATATATATATATATATATATATATATATAGGGTGAAAGTGGGGGTTCACTTTAGAATGTAGTTTCAATTTTATTATCCAAGTAATAGAGGAATAAGAATAGAGTTACAGATGTTTGCCATTTAACAAGCTCTGCTCAGACATGTCCACCATACTCCATCGAGTATCAGATACTAATGAATAGAAGATGCACTGTTATTTTATGTATCGCAAGCAAGAAAAATTGCTTGTAAGGAAACCTTGACACTGACTTGATTGGAAGGCATATCCTACCTAAGGGAGGTGGAAATGTGAGAGAATGTGTGCAACTAAGAATTGATGGTGGTATAAGGAAAGGACCTCTGTGGTCACATCAACAGTGGCATATCTGAGCAAGCTGTGGAGAGTAAGCTCTTGGGGAGACTTGGCCATATTGGCCCAGGGAAGCAAGTCAGAGGCTTCCTGTCAGGCGCAACTATATAGGTCAAGTTCCACACCAGTAAAGGGTACGTTGTGAAATTCTTCAGTAAGGAAGTTATGATTAATACCTGAAATTTGTCCCTCAAAGGGACATTGTTCCTTCAGAGAAGGCAAATGACTCATCAGAAATAAGCACAACCTCACCTTTGAATTTAAATCCTTTTCTGTCGCAACAGAATATGGATAAGGATGGTGGACTCCCCACATTCATGACTTCTACCACCATAGTGTTCAGTTAATGTTTCTGTAGACTCTTTCCAAATTCATCTCTCCAGGAAAGGACCTTTTCTCTACTGAGCTATTAATACATTACTTTTTGTTGTATGTCAAGACACGTAAACATGAGTAATATTTCCTGTGCAGATATCCAACTAGATAACCCAGATAGATTTCTTCGACTTAGGAAATGTATTTTATGTTTAGTAACTGCATGTGAAAACTTGCTGAAAAAAGAGGTTCTTCCCAACCTTCATTCATTTCCAATTAAATTGAACTTTTCATGAGCAAACACAGGTTAGCACATGCAGGTGAAGTGTCAGAGTTTTTCTGGGGTCATTTGGGCAATTTACCTCCATGCTGATGTTCCCAAAACAAATAGTTTCCCTAAGTCTGGGAGACCCAGAGCCTGTGGGTCATGACATAGAGACAAAAGAAATATTGCCGTGGTGTTCTCTGTTGCTCTCTCTGTGAATATATCCTGTATACTTAGTGAATTGTGCTTTGCTTGAATGGAGCACCCCCTGTGTGGAGGTAACTAGCTATCTAAAAAAGAAGAATAAGTAATACAAGCATTATGGGTTTCCAAAAGTCTCCCCAGCCCCAGATCATTCAGTAGAAGTGGTTAAGACAGAGAGCTGAACCACATAGATCTGAGACACACAGCAGGGGAGGAGGCGGGTGGAAGGATCAAGTCAGAGGAGGGAAGAGCACAAGGGATGAGGGAGATGAATCACAGGTGGGGTGCTATGGTGGTGGGAGATCTATGAGACCTAAGGGGAGAAATCAAATAATGTCCAAAAATTAACAAAGATGTAAGAAACTAGGTTAATTGATTTTTAAAAAGGAAAAACAGGTGTGGTAGCTGATATTTTGGAGCCCTTACTAAGTTCTGGGCTCTAATTACTATCTCATTTATTCTGCCTGTGCTGGGCTGGTTATCTCCCTTTTGCAAATAAGGAGATGGAGGAACAAAGTGGTTGAGTCATTTCCCCAAGGTTACACTGCTTTATAGAGCTAGGATTGGAATCCAGGTCGGTCCAACTCTAGGCCAATGCTCTCTCACCACAGATGGTAACTTTTTGGAATCTGGGAAATAGATTGAGTTAATGTGGTCATTTGCCAGCACCAGTTATCACAGGTGAAGGCCTGGAGATTCGATATGCTTTTTGTTCTTCACTGGATGAGTCAGGAAAGTGGCTGAGTTAGAGCAGGAGTTCGTATGAGGAAACAAAGAGATGTAGGTTGGGTGGGTTAAAAGTTAAGACTTCCTGCCTCATAGGATTGTTTGCTGTTGAAATATACATGCTGTGAAAGTATAAAGTGCTTCCAGATCAAAGCACTGATGTTGTGATAGGAAAGACAATGGAGGAAAGGCTGTGAAGTTGCCAGATCAAGAGCAGCCTGTGCACACCGTGGCCTTGGTGGTATGGAATGTTCTCCCTCCCAGGTTCAGTTCCCTGGGCTGCTTTTATGAAGCCCAGCTGTCAGCTTGAAATTGCTAGCAGAGAGATCTAGGGATCTAGATTTGACTTTGAGACTGGATTTGCATAGATAAATTAGGATATTTCTGCCATTGGGGACTGGATTAGGATGGGAAATGCTTTGACTGCTATTATATTTGGTCTCAGGGGAAGGGACATCTAGACAGGCGGCTGTGGCACAGGGAGGAGACAGAATGAGCTTGAAGGAGAGGAATGAGTGACCCTTGGCCACTGGAGACCCTCTGCTGTCTTCTGAGTCATCCCCTCCTGCAAGTGTAGCTTTAAGACCAAACAGGGTTTGTTTGAAAGCTCTGAAGAAAGCTGCCCGTACCCCTGAACTCTCTATTGTGCTAGTTTGCTTTTGCCTAAAATCCTTAAACTATAGATCAAACCTTGGATTCAATCTTGACAAAAAGGGTTCTTGAGCATAAATATTTGGCAGAGTTAATGGGCCAAGGGGTAGACTAAACCCAGCACAATCTTTTTTTTTTTTTTTTTTGGTTTAGGGTAAAAAACCAAGACTGTTGATTTATAGGAGAACCTATATCTAAAATAAGAAAGGGAACAGAAAGAGGATGCTCAGGTTATGGTATGACAGGGAGGCACTGTTGGGACAGGGCGGGGTTGGAGCTCCGAGGGGACCAGGAGACTCTGGGCAAAGGCCATTCGTAACCTGCAGGATCCCTGTGCAGCTGTCACAGAGAAAACTCCTCATCCTTTTTATTAACTCAGGCTCCTTGCTTTATATATGTACGTTAATATGTATAACCTATTATAATGAGCATAATGATAGCATAGATATAATGTGTTATATTTTAGCATATCATACATATTAATATATAATGTATATTGTATATATTAGAAACAACACGCCATTTCTTTGGGTTCCTTGCTTTTAATATATACATTATATGATATATAATTATAATACATAATATATGTAAATGTTATCTATTATAAATATGTAATTGTAATGTCTTAGATATATTATAAACAACATATAGTGTCTGTAATAAATAGATAATGTATAAACACATAAATAAATAATGTACATGACACATATATACGCTATTTGGATTTAGATATTCTTGTTCTGCTCATTTCAAAATTTGAAAGATCCTTATTGTCCTGCAGTGTGGATGGAGACCTTTCAGGGAGGCAGGACTGCATTTCACCATGTAATTTACTATATTTCCCTTCCACAGTGATTGTGCCAGTGAGATAGTTCTTTTAGTGAAGACTTTGAAATGGACAGGTTAATTTTGAAGTAGGAATGGGAGGACTAACACAGTGTTCAAAATAACCTAGCACAGTTTCCATTGGTAGAAATACTGCTCCAATATAGAAGCAGTGCAGGACACAAGGCAGGAATGGGGAGGGCACATGATGTTGCAAAAGTTCTACCTCATTCTCCACTGCAATTCATGCAGGATACAAGGAGTTATGAAGACAGGAAGCTCCTGGAGTTGAACCATGTTGTATGACCAAAGACTGCGTTTGGTCCTTCTATCTCTTAGGCTAAAAGTGGTGTGATCAGGAGACACTGGAGAGTTAATTTAGTCTCTGAGTCATAGTTTTCTCAAGTGTAAAGTGCTAAAAGTATCACTTGCCACTAGTCAAACTGTAGATCATGTGAGACACTTATAGAGGTCCTCCATTCAAAAGTAAGAATAATGTAGGTTTTTAAATATATGCAAATCTATCTTATTACTTCTATAAGAAATCTAGATGTAGAAAGAGGAAAAATGATCTTAGAACCACAAAGGACACTCATCAAAAATGAGTTGTCTTTCAGATGCTCTAATTAGTACCTTCAAATGCTCTAATTAGTTCCTTTTGAGGAAACTGAGTAAATGGAAGTGGAATAATGAAATGACATGATTGGGAAGACAGAAATGAAAAAGAGGCCATTGGGAAAGGCGCTGCCATCAGTAAAAGGCAGAGAATTGCAGTCATGAGGGAGAGGCAATCCCTCTTGGATGTTAGAATATATGGTTGAGAGGGCAGGGACCTTTTCACGGAGAAAAGGTCATTGGACTGGGGCCAGCAGAGTTTTATTGGTGACCAAAGTTAATAGTGAGCATTTATTAATCAGTCCCAGGTGCATAGTTATCTCATTTAATCTTCACATCATGCCAGTGAGGTGGCTCCTATTATTTTCCTTCATCTTCAGCTGTCCACAGTTTAAGAGAGGCTTATGGAGCTTAAATGAAGTTCTACAACTAGCCAGAGGTGGAGGAGTCAGGCTTTGACCCCAAAGCCAACCTGGTCTTACCCCATTATCCATTCTTCCCCGCCCCCCCACCCTTAGAAACTAGGAGTTTGATTCCACCAGTGGAATGGAAGCCAGACTGCAGGTTCCTCGAAGGGGAAGGTGAAAGTTGGCAAGGCAGAAGCTTGTTCGCAAATTTAGCTCTACAGGGGGAGAAAAGATGGTCTCCAAGTCACAGACAAGTGAAGATTTTTTCCCCCCAGAATGGACAGACTTGTGAAAGAGGGGAAATACAAGATGCTGCAGGAGGATGGTGCCTCTTGTCGGCCACACTTGTGAGATTTTTAGAGCTCAGTGATACTGGAAGTGATGTCTTTAAAGTCATGTTTTTTTGGTGGTGGGATTTTGCCAAGTGTCTCTCTCCTTTCCTGCATGACATCTCTGAGATTTTTTTGTGGGGGTTCACTCTCCATTCCAAGTAGGCACATACTACGCTGCAGTCCACTACTCTGGAGGTCTTCTACTTCGTCCTGTGTTCTCTCCATCCCTCCAGTCTCCTCTCCATGTTGGTTTCCCCCAGCCCCCAGCTCATTTGCTGTCATATACACAAGTGCTGTTTTGCCCTGAGAAAAGCTCCTCTCTTCAGAATGCTGAAGGTCAATACATACCCCAGGACTGACACCTCCTCCCAGAGTAGGTTAGCATTTCAGAGAGATTGGGGATGTGGGGGTCTGGTGTACTTAAATAAAGCAGGATTTAGAACTGTCCTAAGGGAAAGGAATTTATCCTCATTGTTCATTTAGTAAGAGCGGGTAGCCTCTCAGGCCAGATGGGATGTTCAAACACTGGAAAGACATTTGTGTGAAGCTATGGGTTGGGATTGTCTGGCTGGGAGGTGTGGGGTGGGGAATAGCTACTCACTCAGGATGGGGTCTTCAGATGGCCAGAGTCCAAGGCAAACCATGTGTGAGGAGAAGTCATCACTGCTTCCTCTGGATTCCTGTCCCTGGGCCAATTGTCAAGGCAGAGATTTTTGTCAGAAATAATTGTGAACAAGGTGGTGTGATTCCTCCCTCACAGAGAAAGCCAGGATTTGACTCTTAGGAACATTCCTTCCTCACAGAAGACTTGGAATCTGTGTCAAGACTTGGTAGTTGACATAGTCATGCAGCAATGTTTAACCCCAAAGCTGTTGTTCACAGGTGTCAGCTTTCAGAAAGGCAAGCCAGACACACTGCTATCATTTCCTTGAAGGAAAATGAAAAAGACCAAATACACTGTGCAGAAATGTACTTCTGTAACCCCAGGCTGACTTAAAGAAGTTGGGAAGACATTTGGGACATGAACATGACCCTATCGTTAAAGAAAGGAGATAGAGCTGAGAATTTAAGCTAAGAAAAGGGAGGGAAAAGGAAGTGTTCTCAATTCTTTTTTCTTTTCTTCTTCCTAGCAAGAACCAGTTGAGTCATCTTTGGGGCTTAGTAATGGAGTAAGTGATCTTTCTCCTGAGTATGCGGTCCTGAATTCAGCTATAAAAAATGAAGTGGATAGTACGGTGAACATCATAGGTAAACTGTTTTGACATCTCATTTTTTATACACACAAGTAGCCCTGTGGGGTCTAAAGTTTGTACAATGTGACTTGAAATAACTTAGCCAGTGGGAGGGGGTCTTGGAACCATCTCAAAAGGCAAGTTCCAGCCCCCAGATTTCAGAGCTAAAAATGAAGGCCTTTGAGGATCAAAGAAACTTAGATGAATCAACCTCAAGAAAAGAAGGTTGAGGGGCCTCCCTGGTGGCTTAGGGATTAGTCTCAGTGCTATCACTGCTATGGCCTGAGTTCAATCCCTGGCCAGGGACCTGACCCACATGGCACAGCAGACCTCTCCTGTCTCACCCGCTGCTCCCCTCAGCAGTGTATTCAGTAAATCTACCTATTCTGCTCCCCACTCTGTCTCTGGTGAATGCTCTCACCCCTGCACCTCTGACCTACACTCCTGTTCTTGTGTGCAAAAAATAAAGAAAGAAAGAAAGAAGGTTGAGTGAGAGTCCAAGTAGATAAAATGGGTTTTTCCCTAATGGGTAATGATTCGTGATCCTCAATCTTTCAATAATTGGTAATGTGGAAAAAAGTCTTTACTTATTCAAGTGGGGAAGCAAGAAGCAAGAGGATTCTCATGTATTCTCAGCGCCTGCTCCATGGCAGATGTGGCATGTAGATCCTGTAGATGGACAAACAAGCACAGTGACATGTTGCCAAAGGGCACATCTTGATTTCACAAAGAATTTTGAGCACCTTCTGTATACTAGACTCAGAATGAGAAGCAGGGTGGATTGGGGAGTGAGGCAGGTCCAATTCCAGTTTCATGGACAGACAGCAAAAAAAAAAAAAAAAAAGGCATAGATAGCAACAGCCTTGCCCTTGGTGATAAACATTGGGAAGGAAAACAATGGAGAGATGGTAGAAAATGACAGAGGACCAGATTTAGATTAATGGCCTCTCAGAGGAGCCATGTTCCCCCTGAAGATGGGGGGCAGGAGTAGCAGGCAGTGGAACTATTGGCTGTGTACTATAGGGAAGAACATGGTAGGAGGACTAGAAGGCCTAGTGGACTATGGTGGAGGCTGATTGGTGCTTTGGTGGTGGGTGTGGTATGATAACACATATCTGAAGAGGTGTGAACCTATATCCCTAACACTTTCAGAGTGTTGTAAACCAAAAATAATCTAAGTTGAAAAAACAGATCCACAAAACCAAACAGCCAAGTGTGGCTGAACACAGTAAGCATGGGAGAGGCACAAGGTTGGGTCAGGGAGGCAGGGCAGGGTCCTGGGGGGCCTTTGCAGGCCATGGGAAGAAGGTGTTTTATTTGCAAACTGCGTGGGGTATGTTTAAAAAAATTTTTTTTAATTGAAGAAGAATACACAATAAAGCACACAGATGTTTTATTTACACACACAATATAAACACCCCCTGGGAGGCTTTTAGGCAGGAGGGTGACAAGTGTGAGTTACTTCTCCATAAAGGCAGGCTGGGATGCTCTGAATGAAGAGTGGGGACTCTGCCAGAGTGGAGGCCCAGGGTGAACTTGTATTCCAGATCGAGCCCCAGAGTCCAGAACTGGGGGTATTTGTCCTCAGGTATCTTATGAGCCACGCCTGCTGCATTTGTAAACGGGGCTTCCTGTGCTGGTAAGAAGCAGAGGGCCAGAGCTGCAGAGCAGGTGACTTGTCTGGACACATGGAGTCTCAGCCAAGTTCCCCACAGGAGGCCGCCATGGGTGCCAATGTTGGGCACCCTGTCCCCTGTGAAGGAAAACAATGGAGAGATGGGAGATAATGACAGGGCACTAGATTCAAATTAGAGGCCTCTCGGAGGAGCCATGTTCCCCCTGAAGCCAGGGCCCAGGGATGGTATGGAGTTTTGGAAGTAGAGCCATGAATTGGCCATTCCTGAACGTTGCGATTCTTTTGCAGAAAGCATTTGAAGGGAGAGCGAGGAGTCTGTTCCCTGAATGCTGTGCCTTGGGGCAGCCGTGGCCTTGCCTTCCTTGTTGCTCACGGACCTGGCCTTGGGCCCCACAAGAGGTTTTTTTTTTTTTTACTGTTTTTTTTTTTTAATATTTTATTTTATTTTATTTTTTTAATATTTTATTTTACCCACAGGAGTTTTTGAGCTGAGGGGGTCTTAGAGAGCAGCATTCTTCTCACTTCCCTATGAGGAAGCTGCAGCTCTGGGGTGAGGTGACTTATCAGACCAGCAGCCCTGCCTGCTCTCCTCCTGGGCCCCAACGTGTCCCCGTCCCCCCCCCCCAGCCCCAGCTGCTTCCCGCCCTCCTGGTATGTTATTTATCTTCCCCTTCTCAGCAGGCAGTCCCTGGGAAGCTATGCCCGTTGAGCTCCTTTAAAACAGGAAGGTCTGGGCAAAACTTCAAGCACTTTCTTGTAAGATTCAGCTTATTTTGAGTGAATCTCTTGGTTTCTGGAACTCCCTTCGATATATGAGGTGAATTCAGCCTCAGATAAAATGTGAAACAAAAGCCAGAATTGTATTAGAATTTTCTTTGCTTTTTCAAAAACATTTTAAGTTAGATCTTCAGTATGCAAATTCTCTGGGGGATTATTCTTTACCTTTTGATATGATTTGTGCTATGTGAGTTCCATCTGAGTTTAATGAGCCCTTACTTCTGGGGCAAAGAGGAATCTGAGGTTTGGATAGAGAATCACCTACTGGATGAAGTGATTCTCTTCCTTGGCTTAATAATAAAATAATTATGGGTGGCAGTAAAATGAGCTTGACTATCTCTTTATAATTAATTGGTGACCCTTATGAAAGTATGTAATTATATATGAACTGGATCCATACAAGTATTTTAAAGAAATGGGTAATTTGTGATCAGTGCTAACAATAGTGCTACCCCAGATTTTCAACCCTTCACAGAGCTTTTGTCTGCACTCTTGCACGTGACCATTAATTAGCCATCTCGGTCCATGTGATTAGTGGATAGAGACAAGAAACGTGGGGATTTCTATTCCAAGGCACTGTGGAATTGGGAGATTCCCTTTCGTTTGCTCTTTGCCTTGTAGAAATGCCTATTTAAATATGACACCATTTCTTGCTTTCATTTCATGTTTCTAAACCCAGATTTCACTTCAGTTTTATACATAGGTGCCAAAATGAAAGCTTCAAGGTGTTTTCATTCTACTTTTATAAGCATATGCTTATAAGATTAAAATTGGCAGCTGGAATGAGTACTTAACATGAGTTTTGTTTTTTTTTTTTTTTTCCATGTTGTCTATAAGCTCTTTAGCTAAGGCAATAGATTGGAAATCAATAACTTAATCCAGCGGAAGCCAGTGCATTTTTTATTCCTGACAGGGCTGCTCTATGGTAAGTGAATCCAGTAAGTGTGCACAGCGTGAAATGCACCATTGCCCTGACAAATGAACTCTTGCTAGGTGGCTGCTGTTTTGCTTTTCTCGTTCTTGCTACAACGCCAAGCAGGAAGACACACGAGTGTGCTTGCAGTTGTCAGTGGGCTGTGCCCTGGCCTTGTCTTGTCCGTGACAGCTGAATATACTTTCAGACTTAGCTAGCTTCCAGCGAGGAGTGTGGTGTGGCCCAGCTCTCCTCTGTGGCTAAACGCACAGGTTCAGTGCCCCCAAAGACCTACCCCTGCTTTCCTTTTGGGAGGAGGGGAGTCCTTTTTGTTTTTACTTTTCCTTAGCATTGAATTATTTGTTGTGTGTGGTGACTTCTGTTTTTAGGAAGCGGAAGAAGCCAACATGTTGAATTGTTCTGACAATACCCTGCTGGCATCTTGCCCAGGTTAGCAGTGTTTTTGCTGAGCTGTATTGAAATGGTCTCCAGGCCAGTGTAAAAAGTTTGCAGGTGCGGACATTCTGTCTGGCTAGCCCAGGCAGTGCTTTATAACCTCATTGTGTTTCTTGATAAAAGGTAACTCCACCCTTTAATAAAACAAAGATTGCCATTAGACAAGGGAGGCTATTCATTACCCTCGAGTAAGTCAAGCAAGTCGTAGTGACTAAACGTAGAGCAATTAGAAAATAATGTAATTTTGATTTTGTCTGAATTTTGGCTGCCAAAAATGTACCTTTTGGGACTTTTCTTTTTTTGTAATTGCTTCCAAATTTGACTGCCTTTATCTGAAGTAAGCCTTGGGTAGCTTTTTAAGCCAAACTTAGGAATTTGATATGAACAGGGAGGAGCGGAGTGGCAGGAGAACAGATTCACAGCTTCAGGACCAACTTTAACATACCCACGGGGGCCTCATAGTTTGAGCTTGAGGTTGGCGTCCTCTGGCACCAGAATTCGTGATTTGAGGATGGCCAGACCTGTAAACTGTGTCTTCATGGTTTTTCAGTTCTTTTGTTCCGAATTCTTTTTGCCATTTTCACTTGGTGCTTAAGGTGTGAAAAATCCCATCTACAAGATAAATGTTGCTTTGGTGGGGCGGATCTTTAGATGGAGGAGAAGTCTTCCACTCTCACTCTGCGTAGGTTGTCCTGTTGGGAGGGCAGATCTGTTCTTGAAAATGGGGGAGAGAGGCCTCCCTGGTGGCGCAGGCCGTTGAGCACAGCTCTGTGAAGCTGTCCGTAGGCTCTGCAGTGCGGGTTTGATCCCAGCCAGCCAGGGAGATACCAGCATGGTGCGGCAGACCTCTCCTGTCTTGCCCGCAGCTCCCCTTTGCAGTGTATTTTGTCAGTCTGCGTGTTCTGCTCCCCGCTATGTCTCTGGTGAATCCTCTCACCCTCCCGCACGTCTGGCTTATACCCCGGTTCTTGTATGCATGAATAAATAAATCTTTACAAAAAAAAGAAAAGAATATGGGGGAGAGACAAGACATCCAATTGAACCAGCACTCATGGACAATCCTCAGCAATATGAGCCTCTATGTGGGATATGAACCAAGATGTCACTGTACACCCAGACACAGAACGAACAATACAACCTATTTTTCTTCAGCTGCCTGCATCTTGGAAAGTCAGGTCACAGGTCAGACTCTCAGTCACCAAGTGCAGTTGGAAGCCCTGGGCAGTGCAGCCTGACTGTTGTCTTTTCAACTTTATAAAGTTTTTATTTACCCAAGAAGCCCGCCATCTTTTTATGTGGCTGTATATATTCTTCTCCCTCCTCCTCTTCCTTGCTACCCCCATCTCATTTATAAAGACTACAAAGCCCCCCTCCCTCTCCTCGTCATGTTTCTCCAAGCCCCTTCTTTCTATTTCTGATACGGCTCCCAGTCACCTACATTCATTCCTGAACTCTGCTTCCACTCTGCCCCCTCCCCGTCCATTCTCCACACATTGATTTCTGTTTAATGCCCTCTCCCCATGTCACCATTGCCCCCAGGACAAAAACTCATGTCTCATTGTGTCTCCAGGGGCCTTCGTGAGCCAGCCTCTGCTCATCATCATTAGCCTTGTGGATCTGAATTATTCTGATGACCTCAAGGTGTGTCTATAGAGAGGGCAAGGTGCTTGTGAGTTTTGTTTCTACGGAGCTGCTGGAAAGGCTCGGTGAACACAGCACAGTGAGGAAATGACTACTGGCAGAGCCCAGGTCGTGTTTGGTGCCAACCGCAGCCGCTTGACCTGGGTTTCTGCTTCTAGACCCTTGACCCTTGAGCCATATTGATGAAAACAACTGGGTTTGTTGGGACATGTTACTTGCTCTCCTTTCTAGTAGCATGTAGTGCTGTTTTCTCATGGGTGAAGAGTATTGTGCACCAGTCATACTCTTGCTTCATCCTACACCCACCCAACCTGTTGAGCTGGGCACAGTCAGGCCCAAGCAAGGACAGAACTCCCTTCTCTGAAATGACTACCGCCCAAGTGACCCCCTCCCTGTCCCCCCTCCCGTGCCCCGCTCCTCTCAGGCCCCTAAATCAAACCATAGCCTTGTTTTATTTTTTAAAAACTGAAAAAAAGATTGGAAGTTAGACTTGCATTTGAGTCCTAGTTCTGCATTTTTGATTTCCCACATGATTCTGGGCAAACACATGATTCTGAAACTCAGTTTCCTCACTGTAAGATAGAAATAATAAGACTGAGCTTGCCCACCTCATAGGCTTGCTTGGAGGGTCAATGAATATTTGCAAAGAATCACTGTGTGGGTGGAAGGTGGTAAAATAATAATCTCTGATGGTATTATCAAAAGCATTTAAAAATATATTTGAGTAAGAAAAGTAGCTCCCCTCTGTGCTGTGGCATTATAGCTGGTATTAAAAGTTTCAAAACTCCAACTTCCAGATAAGGTCAAAAAGAAATTTCTCTCCATGGTATCAGGCTGTTGACTTGATTTTCATAAGCCCTGCTGGCTACTTGACTGTGTTGCTGTCTGGATGACCTTGGCAGTTTTCTCCACCTCTTTAGGTTTCAGCTTTTTAAAAAAACTAAAATGGTGGGATCACATCTAAATGTCTCTGCTTTTAAGAGTTTCCTCTGGAGCATAGGGCATCCGTCACAGGTGGAGCCCCTACATTAGGTCAACAATTATTAATAAAGTAAGAATGACCCTTTAAGGTATTAGACCGGTTCATCAGTAGTGAGCCATGAATAATATTGTTGTAGCTCTCGGCAACTAGGTCCAGATAAAATTACATTCCTGTGGGTGACTCTTTTCCTGGTGTGCTGACCTTGTGCTGGAGATGTGTAGTGGATTTCTAGCCCCTCTCATCATTGGAGAATTTCCTTGGCACCCAACAAAGAACAGTTGAAAAGCTGTTTCACTATTGGTTATGAGCCCAGAATCTTATTAAGGTGAGATTTGGGAGTTTTTAATCCTAAAAGGAGCTTAGAAAGCCAACAGTAGCTCTGTCTGGGCTTCATTAACTCTTTCTGCTAGGAACATCCCATTGCAGAACACTTTGAGCTTTGGGTTCAGATAAAGCGGGACTGGAATCTGATTCTGACACTTATTGGCTGTCCGATCTTGAATTAGTTATTTAACTCCCATGATGCTTTTGCTCATGCTTACAGGTACAATAGTTATACCTTCCTTGTGGGATTGTTCACCGTGGCAGAGAGGTAGTGGAGAGGCAAAGATAAATGTTCAGGAAATGTTAGGTCTTGTTGTTATTATTTATTCATATCAATACACTATACCTAGGGAATAGCACTTCTGACTTTATTTGCTGCTGGGATTTCCCTCTTTCTCTTTTTGACTTTTAGCTTATAAATTGGAACATTTCCATGGTGCTCTCAGTGACATTAAGATAGAGAGAAGTGGTGTTTCCATTTTGAGGCAGAAGGCAGCACACTCCCTAGAGAAAATTTGATCATATGAACTGTCTATACAACTTAGCTACTTTTTTGTCTTAAGTCAAGTGCAGGAAATGAAATACAGGTGTTCAGACCTATGAATTCTATCCAGTTGTGTAACCACCACCACATTCAAGACATGGCGTGCTGGCCACTGCAGCCCTGTGACTTCCTCACTTCATCTGGGTCTTATAATGCCTCCTTGAAAGAAGATGCACACACCCTCACACACCCCATTTGGTTTCCACTATTTCCACCTTCTTCAGCAATTGCATCTGAGGACTTGGGATAGAACAGGACATAATCTTGTTTTCCTGGTGTTTTATTTTACTTGGGAGAAGAGACAGAAGAAACTTGAGTGATGTCAGTGTTGTCACTTAGTCTGTGTCTGGTGAACTGCATAATTGATGCTCTCATACTCAAATTTGACAGTCCAAAGGATAAAATAAGTATCTGGGAGTCTGCTTGCCATATATTGTCTGCTTTCATTTCTTTTATATTTTCCAGGAAAACCTAAACAGCATCCAATTTCCCTTTAATTCTGTGTGCTGTGACTTTGAGGTCTCTTGTTATTACATCTCCAAATCTTCTTTCCCAATCTCTTTTGTACTTTTCCTTACTTACTTAGACAACTGGTGAATTCTCATTCTTTTCTATAACTTTCTCTAAGTAGAAATCAGGTTATCTTTTCCTACCTCTTGCTAGTCATTTCGGCACCAAACCCCACTCCTAAAAGATTTAAAACAGCAACCCGTTTGGAAACAAAATACTTGAGCAACTAAAATACTTTGAGTAATTATGGCTAACTTCTCAAGGAGACTGGGGTATGGCTGTCTTCTTGCCTAATCTGAATAGTCTATAGATGGGTGAAGAAAATATCAGGGATACAGAATTCTGCACATAACCCAAACTGTGTGACTTTGGAGAAGTAACTCAACTTCTCTGGGCTTGAGTTTCTTCAATTATAACTGGATAATTATATTCTCTTATTCTCATGGGTTGAAATGTTAAAGTAACATACACAAGCATGAGTAAAACATTGATTGTGATGGCAAAGTGCTTTGAGAGCCTTGGGAAAACATTGTTATTCCATCTGTTTTTGGGTGCTAATTTTCAGGGACACATCAGCCAGCCAGTTACCAACAGAAGTATACAATCATCTCCATTTAAAAGTAGAACAGGGCATTAGGGGTATTCAAATTAAGGCCATAATGAGCTATCACTACACACCTATCAGAATGGATAACATGAAAAGATACAACAGCACAGGCTGGCAAGAATGTGCATAAATTAGATTATTTATACCTTGTTAGTGGGAATATAAAATGGGATGGCTGCTCCGGAACAGCAGTTTGGCAGGTTCTTGTAAAATGAAATCTACAATTACCATATGATCCAGCAAGTACAGTCTAGGGCATATATCCCAGGGAAATGGAAACTTATGCTCATTCAAAATCTGTACATGAATGTTCGTAACAGTCTCATTTGTAATAGACAAAGAATGGAACCAACCCAGAAGTTCTTAGTGGGTGACTAGTTAAGCAGATGGTGGTACAATCATATTGTGGAATATTACTCGGCAATTAAGAGGAATCAATTATGGATGCACACAACAGCTTGGGTGAATCTCCAGAGAATTATGCTGAGAGGAAAAAAAAATTTCAAAATGTTACTCTGTGAGTTCATTTATGAAATATCCTGGAAATGACAAAGTTACAGAAATAGGGATCAAATTAGAGGATGTCAGGGATTAGAGACCAGGGGAAGTGACTGAAGGAAGTTCAGTATGGTTATAAACAAGTACATAGGAGATGCTTATGGTGATGGAACTGAACTGTTGAGGATTTGACTGTGGCGGCAGGTACATGAAACTGCATATATGATAAAAATGTATGGAATTAAATACACATATTAACACTCAAACAAAGGAGTACAAGTAAACTAGAGCAAATCTGAACAAGATGTACAGATTGTTATTAATGTCCATATCCAAGATGTAATATTTCCTATAGTTTTGCATGATGTTATCATTGTAGGAAAATGTGTGAAGGGCACTAGGGCCTCTCTATTATCATTTTGTAGCAATTGTGTGGTATCCACAATGATGTCAAGCTAAAATGGTTTAATTAAAGAAAATTGAGGCAGGATTTGGAGCTGGGTGGTCAGAATCCATCTGTCTCACCAGGGTTCGGGGGGTTTTTGCTCCTAGCGTGCTAGACTTGGGGAACCATTCTGTTCCATTGTTCTGCTGTTTCACCCAGTGGTCGGGAGTGTGAACACACCTCCCACAGCAGGAAGCGACACAACAGGGTGGATTTGGATAATCCTTCTTTCTTTCTAAGATTTGATAATGTTTGCCTGGATCCCAGGGCCCAGAAAATTAGCCCAGCAGTTTGCTTCCGAGCAAGAACAGAGAACAGATGTGGGTCAGGTTCAAAGGTCTGTATGTCTAGCTCTGGGCCTTTGTCTGGATGCAACTTCTGGTCCTGCAGCCTTGGCTGTGACTGGGTTGGGTTTGGGATAGCACCACAAGTAAGAACCTTTGGCAGATGTGCTGGACACAGCTCTGAGGAGCTAGGTTATTGGCCAACTGCTTCTCTGAGGCATTAACCCAAAGTGAAGTCTTGTCATGGCAGATAATTTGTGGGGACAGAATTCTGTTGTTGGCTATTCAGCTCTTTGGGGGAAGGTTTTTTTTTTTTTTTTTTGAGAGTTTTGGTTAAGAATTGTGAAGTCAGGCAACATTGGTGCATGATGACTCTCTTCCTTTGAAGTTGTAGGACAGTCACATCTGGACAGCAACATTGAGGATCAAGAGATTGTCACTAATCCTCCAGACATTTGCCAAGTCGTGGAAGTGACCACCGAGAGTGACGAACAGCCGGTCAGCATGAGTGAGCTGTACCCCCTGCAGATCTCCCCCGTGTCTTCCTACGCAGGTAAGGGGGCAGGAGGAAAACTCTGGAGCTGAGCAGGGAACAAGGCGGGACAGTCCTTCAGTCTAGAGCCCGTTTCAGCACACATCAGAGAGCCTCTGCTCTGTCCTGGAAATTCTTCTCACTGGAATTCGTCTTGCTTTAATCTTCTTGACCAACATCTTGGACACTTTTTTTTTTTTTCAGATGATGTGGTCATAGCATTTTTTTTCCTTGTTCACCCAAAACCTTTTCATGCATGAATAACAATAAGATTTCTTTGGGGAAGTAATTCTTCCAAGTCTTTCAGTTGCACAAATTATGAAAAATTTGGAAGTGTGCTTTTTAATGGAGCATCAGGTTGACCAAGCTGGTAGGATCATAAGGATCCTCTCTTCCACTTCCTTCACTTTTGGAAGTGAAGGGACTTGCTCAAGGTCACACGGATAGGAAGGGTTGGGCCAGGATTTGGACTAAACCTTCAGACCCCAAGCTCCATTCCATTCTGCCAAGCCTACTTGTCACTTCCACATATTCCTCTTTTTTTTTTTCTTTAAAATTTTGTACAGCTGTTAATGGGGTTGGGTGGCTGAGCCCATTTCCGAATCCCCAGGAAATGGCCACATCACTGCAGGAATTGGTCCAGACAGTCAGAGGGTTAGAACCAGATTCTCCCATCCTTACAGACTAAAGTGATGACTCCTTTTCCCACCAACATTACAGTGTCTTGCACTCTCTTCTTGATGATTTCCATTTAACTTTGTGGGACTTGATCATAATTAGGAAATAGAAATTCTGAGTCAGTGTTATTGCTTGCTAATAGTAAAAATAAAAAAATCTCATGAGTAACCACAGCTTTAATAACCGGTTCAGGGATTCTTATGAGGGTCCTTTATTTGTTGCCATGGGGAGTGTCCTTCACTTAGGGTGCCAGCCTGGCATTAGAAATGGATTTATTGAAGTGACAGGCTTATGAATTAATTAGTCACTAGCCTCACTTTGTTTTTTTAACTTGATTTCTAAAATTGTAATAAAATATACTTAACATAAAACTTTCCATTTTAGCTCTTTTTAAGTGTACATTCCTGTGACATTAAGTATATTAACATTGTTGTGCAATCCTCAGCACCATCCATCTGCATAACTTTTTCAGTACCCATTAAACACTGACTCCCCATCCTTCCTGGCCAGCCCCTATCAACCACCATCTATTTTCTGTCTCTTTAAATTTGGTTACTCTAGGTATCTCCTAGGGGTGGAGTCAGCAGTATTTCTTCTTTCATGCTGTCTGATTTCACTTAATGCCTTCAAGGTCCTAACTTTCTTTTGTGCAGGGAACATCAAAGACATGTGAGAGCAAACCTTGGCTACCAGAAACTTATTATCAGTCAAACAGGATAAGCTTGTCATCAGTTATTTATTCATCAGACATATTTGGAACGCCTACGTGTGCCAGCCCCTCTTTGGACTTTGCTGGTCCTTGGTCATAATAACTGCTATTGGTAGCATGTTTATTGTGCCCTGGGAACTGTGCTGAATACTTGGAATCGATGGACTTATTTAATTATCATGAGAAATTAACCCTGTCAGCCTGGGAACCATGATTATTCCCTCCTGCAAAATTAAGAATCCAAGACTGATATGTGTCCAGCGACAAGCATCAGGTAGCACAGTTAGGACCCACATGTTGCTGATACCAAAGGCCTGTTCTTTACCGTTCACTGCAGTGCTAACCTGGACAACCACGTGGTCCATTCTGAACCCAGCCACACCCATGGTCTCAAGCTCCTACCAAAGGTTTTGCCTTAATTTCATCAATGAGATAATTGAAACTTCAAACTCTAAGCCATTCTGCTTGTATTTATATAGCTACAGCTAAAAAGGCAACTTCTATATCCTTTTGGGCACACTAGTGTGCAATTGTGTATGCGTGTGCATGCTTTTTTGTTTGTGTGTTTGTTTGTTTTAAGGGATTGGTGCTTTAGAATAGACTTTATGCCTGTCTCTTTAGAAAAACTTTCCTAAAGTCTTCTTGAGGGTTCTGGAAAGACCTCTTCATGCTGTTCTGCCAGCCCTGGCATTTAGCTTTAGCAGAAGAATCCCAAGAACAGCTGATCCATGCAGAGAGACATGAAAATTTCATTAGCCTTTTCAGGACATTTGCATAGATTTGAAAGGAAGGATTTCGGTGCCAGGCTGGCAGGCTGTGGCAGGTTGTGTTGGAGCCTCGCTTTGCAGCCTGGCCTTTAGTTCTTCCCGTTGTTTTCATTGTCTGAATTCTCCAGAACCTTTTGGAGGAAGCTTATTGGATGGAGCCAAAATATTTCATCACTGCTTCTTTTCTAGAGCTTGCAAAGACATAGCAAATGTATCTGCTGCTGACCAGGGGTGGTTAGATTTTTTAGTCAGGAACTTTATAGCATTCTGCTAGGAAAGGCAGCTTTTTGATGGTATTCAACTTTCTTACTCTTTAATGTTCCCCAACAAAAGAAGCTGTTTGCCTGTTTTTCATGAGAGGGTTCCTTTGTTCCCCTGTTTAGCTGAATTTCAGCCTCCTCTCACCACTTTTATTCATTTATTTAGGAAACTGGTATCTAGAGGCTGTTGTTGGCTATTTCCCTCCCTGCTGATCACTAGAAGATAATTCCAGCAGTATTATAAAACTACATTCAATTTTACAAGTCTGTTCTTAATATTAAATATTGTCGGGAGCAAAAAAAGATACAGGTATTTTGAGTGGAAGTACTTGCATTAGATTTCTTAAAACATAAAATTCTGGTTAGATTTGTAAAACTTTTTTATATCAGGGAGGGATGTCTCAAAGCCTAATGTTTGGAAACTCTAGAGAGTCATTTGATTTCAAAGGTCAACCTTCAAATGGTCTCTTGCCCGATGTGTGACATGAAGACTTTGTTAGGTTGTTGACAGTTTAGTAGTTTAAAAAAAAAAAAAAAGCCACCATAGTATTTTGGGAAAGGAAAGATGAAAGAATGGAAAACAGCTTGAGAAGAAAGCATAGTATAAGGATTCATCGGTTATAGGTAAGAGACCAGTGATTGCCTACTGACCAGCAAGCAGCAGTTAATACTTTGAGTCCTTACGGAAGCCACATGAGGCTTACATTTTGTTGAGTGGGGCAAAGATAAAAGAGCTTTGAGATTAAGAGGACTCAGATTTAGACCTTTTAATCAAGCCTTCCTGTGAAAGTGATTGAGGAAATGATGCCAATGTGTTAATAAAACTTGTTGAACAAGAGCCTTCCAGAAAGGTACCAGGATGTCAGAGTGCAAAGACTTTAACATAAAACATCTTGTCTCCCTCCTCATGTTGTTCTTAATCTGGTTTGGTAATAAAAACTGGAATTCAACCGAGACTAGCACCTTCCTCAAACTGCAGCTCTGGAAGAGTCTTTGTGATCACGTAATCCAAGCCCCCTCCCCTCTCACCCTGGATGCATTCAGCGGCTGAGACAGGAAAGAGGAAATGAGTAACTCATATACCTGTGACACTTTGCCCTTATTCTGATACACGTTCACCTTATTCACAACCGTGGTAGCGAAGCATCTGCAGTTTTGCTGTTTCTCCCCCCATTGTAATCACAGTAAATTTTTTCAAAAGCCAAATCCAAACGAATCAAATGAGAACATGAAGCAACTGACGCTGATATTTCCGTAGTCACATTAGCCTGTGTAAGGGCCGGACTGGCCACAGTGCAGGTTTTCTGATCCCATGCAGACCGGGTAAAGGAGGAGTCAGAGTCCTCAGTAGTTTTGCAGGTTTTTTATTTGGGGTCCACCAGGCATATGGCAGGCAGGGGTGCTGGCTGGGGGGCTGGGAGGCTGGCAGGCCTCCCAGCCCCCAGCAAGTCTTCACTCTATCTGGGCTCTCTGGAGTTGGTTCTGCTGCTTCTCGGCTTCTCTTTCGGCTTCATACTGATACTACTGCTGCTGCTGCTGCTGGCGTCCCCGTGACGCCGCCCTTAAAAAGCACAGTCTTAGCTCAGCTGAATCCCATCTACCTATGCCCACACCCTATTCCAGGTGCCCGCCATCAGGCATGCATTCAGGACAAGGATCCATCATCTATCCTGATGGCGGAAGGGCAGAAAAGCCTGATATTTTCTTTACCCTACAGCCTGAAAACAGCAATTGCTGTGAGCTGATGGGTCATGCGTGAAGTGATCTTGCAAATGCAGTGGTGCAGTAAGACAACACAACAGAGGAAAAGGGTCTTGAGCCCACCCAACGAAGCACTTTGAGCCAATGATTGGGGCTAAGCTAGCCCTTGAGGACCGCGGTTATTTTGGAGAGAAGGGTTTGCTTTCGTGGACTGGAGCTTCACACATCTCCTAAGCTGAAGGCACTTGAGGTTTTAAAAAATGAAAAAGGAGAAACTTCAGTTTAATGTGGAGTCCTCAGAACTACTTCAGAAGCAGTTGATCTTAATTTAGAAGCAATATTCAACTAACATTTGTGTCAGCTGAAAACATAAGTTCAGAACATGTGTGTCTGTTCTTGTCTCAAACTATTTCCCTGAAGTTGAAAACTGGGAACTTCAAGGAAATTAACATTCTGCTGATGTTCATGGTCCGTGCACTGCCTTACCCACGAGCGGGATTCAGGGTCAGCCTTCCAATCCCTCTAATGACAACACCTTGGGTTCTAGTGGAATCCCAGGACTCTGGCGTTAACTGCTCATTTTTGCATGTGTCCAGCCCCGCAAGCATGCCTGGTGGCTTTTGTTTATTTGCCTTCCTTTGAAGGCAAATGGAAGATAATTAGGAGTACGTGGAAAGAAGAGAAACCTTGGCATCGTAGCAGAGTGACAGCTCCACATAAAAAGAGAAAGGAGATCTTGACGTTTCATCAGGGACAGAGTGACTTTGGAAAGCAGAGTTGCTGTGTTCAGCGCACATGGCCCTGGAATCAGAAGTGCAGTTTTCTTTTCTCCTGTGCTAACTCAGTCTGCAACTTGGCATATTTCTCAATATCTCTGTTCCTCATTTTTCTTGGGAGTGGCAGCACTGATTCCTGCCTCCTGAGGATACTGAACTGGCATGAGGTTTATATGAGGAGGGGAATTTTCATTGTGTGTGCGCGTTTGTGTGTGTGAAAGAGAGAGCTACAGATCCCCCCCCCTCCCCAGTATCCAAAAATAAAACATTCCTACTTGATCTGATTTGGTGTGTTATATTTTGGGCTTGGGGTGGTTAAAAATGTTTTTTATAAGATAATGGTAATGGTACTCGCAGACACAAAAAATAACCTGCCAGATCATGCCAACGAGGAATGTTCTACTTTGAGATAGTGAAGTAGGGTAGGGGGACATACATTCCCTGCCCCCAGCACTACTAGTATGTTTTCATAGGTAGAGTCATTACCAGCCAAGGCCAATGCCTTTTTCTGGGCATTTGTATCCCCAGCGGGGAGACTGGGAAAGTCTGTTTTGTCAGAGCACAGAGGCCTGTCCTCTGGTGGCTCACAAGCCACCTCCATTATCATTTGTGGGTGAAGTTACGGGAGAAGAGTGGTCGAGAATGTTGCCCAGGTGGGTTCAGTATAAGTCAACCTTCTTGTTCTTTCTGTTCAAGGAATGAACCTGTGGCTCAGTTTGTCCATTTGTTCTATGCCCTTTAATTCAGAGAGAGCCTGCCTGTGGCTAATGCTGTGGGTAGCTGAAAGGGCTCTATTGGGCTGGGAGCCTCTGGTCCCAGCTCTGCTTCTGCTTCATGTGAGGGATGTCAGTCCCTCGGGAGGTCTGCAGTGGATGTGAGTAGAAGGTACTAGAGCCCACTAGCTCTTTTGCATCATGGAGGGGATGATAGAAGCTGCTTCCCCACTTAGGGTCCCTGTGAGGGGTAGCCTGCCCTGCACATGACATTCCTGAAGTATTCCCCATTACACTTTCTCTTTAGGCCTTGGCTGTAAAATGAATGCCCAGCTCAGGGTCTCTGTGCTTTCATTTCTTTATGTTGTGCACATGGAAAAACTGCAGCACTCAGTTTTTTATTGAAAAAATTTGAGAACTTACTGCTTAAAAATTTCTTGTATTGCTTGTGGGGGTGAGGTGTTACCTATAGGTGCTACCTATTGCCGTGGACTCAATTTAGCGCAGTGTGCAAAGTCGAACGAGGCTGATGAGTTCAGGACAATTATCCATAAGTTACTGGGGGTTGCTGTGTGCCAGACCCTGAGTGAGGCCTTTTCTCATGCACCCTCTCATTTATTTATTCATCACAGTACTATTTGGAAGGTGTGAACACTCCCATTTTACAGATGGGGAAACTGAAGCTCAGTGAAGTTCAAAACCAGCTCAGTGTCTCCTTGCCAGCAGGCTGAATCAGGATGGTAACTGAGTTGTTACCTGTTGCTGTCTAGCACTATAACCACAACTTAGTGGCTTAAAAGAGCACACAGTTATATCCCAGTTTCTGAGGCTCAGGAGTCCAGGCGTGGCTTAGCTGGGGCCTCTGCTCTGGGACCACTTGTCTCCTCAAAGGCAGCCAGAGAGGCCGCTTTCAGTCTTACATAATCACACACATCCTTCCCTTTTTCTCCTGATTCAAAATAAGTCACACATCCCACCCACACCCAAGAGACAGAATCCCACAAGATAGTAAACAACAGGTGATGTGGATCATGGCGGCAGCCCTAGAATCTCTCCCCCAGCAGTAACCCAGGTGGAAAATCAACTTAATAAATCCAAGTTACAAGTACTAGGGGGATATGAGGTAGCGGAGGGAAATGAGTAGAATAGGGGTAGATGGGGAGACTCTGAGACAGAACTTGAGCTAGTTGACTGGATCAGAAGAGAGGACTAGTGTGGGGCACTGTGGAGAGAGCAGCCATGAGGAGGGGGCTGACCTGGGCAGAAGTTAGCACAGGGGATGAGGAGGAGCAGAGAGAAGCACCCCTCGTGGCCCAATGGAGACCAGCACCCCATCCTGGGAAGGACAGCTTGTGATTAAACATAGTCTGGCTCTTGGAAAGTGAGCTACTCTAAACCCAGTCTCTGAGGGACCCAGATTAAAGAATTAAAATCCGGGCCTCCCCAGTGGATCAGCGGGTTGAGCACAGTGCTGTGAAGCTGTCCGCAGCCTCTTCAGCATGGGTTCGATTCCCAGCTGGCCAGGGAGATACCCAAATGACGCAGCCGACCTCTCCTGTCTCGCCCACCTCTCCCCTCAGCAGTGCTTTCGGTTGTTGGCCTGTTCTGCTCCCCACTCTGTCTCTGGTGAATTCTCTCACCCTTCCGCGCCTCTGGCCTGTACCTAGTTCTTGTATAAATAAATAAATCTTAAAAAAAAAAAAAAGAATTAAAATCCCCTCTAGCGTCTCCCAAGTACAAGTTTTCCACCTGGCTCAGGGGACCGAAGTGTTGAGTTTAGTTACCCATCTTGAAAAAGAAGTGCTGATGTATTTTTTTTTTTTCAAACACTGCCTGAGCCTCAAAACAGTTTGAGTGGGAGCAATGATGGCCCTTTGTTTTTCTCTCTGTGAACAGAAAGCGAAACTACCGATAGTGTGCCCAGTGATGAAGAGAGCTCCGAGGTAAGCATGGCCGCCTGTGGCTCCCGCAGACACACGGGCGCCTCCCCACCTGCGCGGTGGTTGCCTTGCTGCTAGTTGAGTTTCTTTTCTTTTCATCATGAGTTTTAACATTTGGACTTTGTGTGTGTGTGTGCGTGCATGTGTGTGGGGTAAAGTATACCTAACACAAAATTTACCATACTTTTGGATTTTGAGTTCTAAAATGAAACTGGGGGAACCGAATGGGTGGACAGGCGGTTGTCATCAGAGAGAGAGGCTATGACGGCAGGAAAAGGAAATTGAAGCCAAGACCGAGGCATGTCGGTTTTCTTAGCCCTATAAACATCCCATTCACAAGCAGAAATAGAACGTCCTGAGTGGCCAAAAGCAGTGACCGGCAGTAGGGAGCAGAAAGAACTGAGGAAGATTATCCCCAAATATACCTGGAGCCTGTCCCTCCCTGATCCCTGCCTAGAGGCCAGTTGTGTGTTCAGTCTTGATACCAAGTCTGCCTCTGATTTCCCTCCTATAAGCTGGTTTTACACAATGGCAGGAAACTGGCTGTAATGGTGATGGAAAGCATTCCCCTAACTGCCTGCTTTGTGTCTGTGTTTGAACGAGGTGGGGTAGAGAGAGAAAAAGAGAGAAAGAACTCTAATGATTGTTGGAATTAGTGATTTCCCAAAGCACTAAATGTTTTCGAGTCAAGTCCAGGAATTCTGCTGTTCACATATATTCCAACCATGTTTCTTCAAGGTGAGAATTCCAGCTCCTTCTCTGAATGAAGCCAATCTTGAGGCCTGGCATCCCTGAGCTCTAAGCCACACCCATATGAAAATAATCAAGAGGCATTCACTATCTGTTACTAAGTTTTCTTCACTGCCCTTCCTCTGAAAATGCAGGTTGACTCAAAAATGCATTGGGCCAGCATTGAGGAACCATGGTGCCAGGATAAACCAGCTGTCGTGATCTAAAGTCTACCTAGTGATCAGGCCAGACATCCAGAGTAGAGGGATGCCAGAAACCAACCCGTGCCTTGTTTTCCTGCCTTCATAGAATAGTCTTGACTATATTTGGAGGGGGTAGCTAATGGGAATTAATGAAAGGGGAAGAGAAACTATTGCTTGGAGCATGAATAGTTGGGTATGGTATTCATCTGAGGGCTATAGAGTTGCTAAGCTCCTTTTTCATTTCACAATTAAAAAAATTCAGTTAAAAAAGGACAGTGGCTCACTTTTTAAAAGCCATTTCACAGACGGCAAAGGAAATATATATCTATCTTAATTATTTTCTTTAAAAGGTGCGACCACACTGGCGGAAGAGGAACATTGAAGGCAAACAGTACCTCAGCAACATGGGGACTAGAAGCAGCTACCTGCTGCCCAGCATGGCGACCTTCGTGACTTCCAACAAGCCTGACCTCCAGGTCACCATCAAAGAGGAGAGCTGTCCGGTGCCTTACAACAGCTCCTGGCCCACTTTCGCAGACCACCCCCTCGCTCCCTCCGTGACCCCAGCGCCCAGCAGCAGCAGACCAGACCGGGAGACGCGTGCAAGTGTCATCAAGAAAACGTCAGACATCACCCAGGCCCGCGTCAAGAGCTGCTAAGCCTTTGACTTTCCCCAGTGGTTGTTGGGATTTTCTTGGCTTTGTTTCATTGTTTGTTTGTATTTTATTTTTCTCTCTGACACCTATTTTAGACAAATCTAAGGGAAAAAGCCTTGACAATAGAACATTGATTGCTGTGTCCAACTCCATACTGGAGCTTCTTTTTAACTCAGGACTCCAGCCCATTGGTAGATGCGTATCTCTAGAGCCTGCTGGATCTCCCAGGGCTGCTCCCTCAAGTTCAAGGACGTCATAGGACCAACACCCACAAGGGCAGTGGAGGTGCTGCATTGCCTGCGGTCAAGGCCAGCATGGTGGAGTGGATGCCTCAGAATGGAAGAGAAAATGTGAACTAGCTGGAATTTTTTATTCTTGTGAATATGTACATAGAGCAGTACTAGCGACGTTGCAGTCTGCTTCTGCACCTTATCTTAAAGCACTTACAAATAGACCTTCTCATGATCTTGCTCTATTTCATAGCACATTCAGCCTCTCCCTTCCCTGCCCTCGCCCTTGGCACCCATCCATCCACCCACCCACCCACCCACCCACCCATCCATCCATCCATCCATCCATTCATCCATTCATCCACCCACCCATCCATCCATCCATCCATCCATCCATCCATCCACCCATCCACCCACCCATCCACCTACCCATCCACCCATCCATCCATCCATCCATCCACCCATCCATCCGTCTGTCCGTCCGTCCGTCCGTCCATCCATCCATCCATCCATCCATCCATCCATCCATCCATCCATCCATCCCATCCAGTTCCTTTCCTCCTTTTCCTCCCCTCAAAGGCTGAGTTCCGCATCCCTGAGGAGGAGAAGAAGAAAATGAACTTCTCCACAGATGTCCCATTTTAAGACTGCTTTAAAAAAAAAAAAATCTAATCTGCTATGCTTGAATGCCACGCGGTACAAAGGAAAAAAAAAACTATCATGGAGATATTATGCAAATTCCCAGATTTGAAAACAAAAATACTCTAATTCTAACCAGAGCAAGCTTTTTTATTTTTTATACAGGGGAATATTTTATTCAAGTAAAATTCTAAAGAAAATATAATTGTTTTTTATCTTTTCTACAGCAAATTTATAATTTTAAGATTCCTTTTCTTGTTTATTAGCAGTTGTTATTACATCCTTGTGGCACATTTTTTTTTAATTTTGTAATGGTGAAAAAGCTTTTATGAGCTCATGTAGCAATCAAATTATCCTGTGGATTGATAATAAATGAATATGATATATAGTTAAATTTTTAATGGGCATCACGCCTGACTCTGTGTCTACTTTAGAGCACAGTGGTGGGGTAGGACTGATAAAGGATGGCTTTTTCTTGGGGATCAGACTTTTCCCTTGACAACCACAAGAAATCCTGGAGGGTCCCTCCCGTGAAGACAGTAATGGCTGTTGAGTGCTCCCAAGCCTAGTTTTGGACACGAGCTGCCTTCACGTGTTAAGGTTGTGTACAGGTGGGGAGTCATCTCCACTTTACATGGAAGAAATGAGACGTAAGTGACAACACCTTTTCTCAAGGAGAAGTGCATGTGTTGAGGCCGTAGCTGGCATCACTGTGGAGGGATTTTTTTTTTTTTAAAGATTTATGTATTTATGCATACAAGAACTGGGGTACAGGCCAGAGGTGCAGGGGGTGAGAGGACTCTCCAGAGACCTAGCGGGTAACAGAACAGGTAGACTAACTGAAATACACTGCTGAGGGGAGCAGCGGGTGAGACAGGAGAGGTCTCCTGCACCTTGTGGGTAGCTCCCTGACTGGGTTGAGTGAAGAATTGAACTCATGCTGCAGAGGCTGAGGATAGCTTCACAGTGCTCTGCTTAACCCCTTGTGTCACCAGGGAGGCCCCTGTGGAGGGAATCTGGATCCACTCTGCTATTTTCCTCTGCTGTGAGCAAATTCCACCCACTCTGTTTTTCCTGTCCTCATCCTTAAACGCATGACTAAAATTTTATATGTACATCCCATACAGGGCCCAAGATAGCATGTTCAATGATGGGAAATACTTGCTGGGTTTGTATTCCAGGTCCGTTTCTGTTCATTCTAGGAGCTGGAGCCTTAGATGCAACCCTTGTCCTGACAACTAAGGGTGTCTTTTCTAGTGAAAAGTGTGAATTCAAGAGTGCTAGACGCCTTTGCCCACTTGGCATTTCAAGGCCTCTCCCTGACCTTGGGAAAGCCACTGCACTAACCTCTTAGGCTTCTGTGCAGTAATAAAATCAGAAAGCTGAGCTGTAGCTGCCTACCTACTGCCTCGGGGCTTGTGAGGAGATGGCTGAGTTAATATTTGAAAAGGTTCCTTCAATGAAAGGACAAAGGGCTATTTTTATGCCTCTCTCCTTGTGTGGCGGCAGATATAATTAGTGGTCATAAAATTATCCAGTCCTGGGCAAAAATTAACTGAAGCATTTTACTGGTTGATGGGTCGAGTTGAAATGCCTCCTTTGGATGCTTGACTGCTTCCGTGAGGGGCCCTTTGGTGACTGTGCGCTTGCCCCAATTTCTCTGGAGAGCTTTCCTTTGTTAGTGAAAGGCAGAGTCAGGAGGAAAGAGGTGCTCTGGGCCTCTTTAGTGCTCTGCTTATCAGTGAAGACCCACTCTTCTCCCAGGTTCTAAATAAACAAGTCCAGTTCTTTGTGACTTATGTCAAAACCTTTTTATCCATTCATTCTTCCCGTTTTCTCCCCCACACTCGGAGAGCACCCAGCTCACCACCTGTCCCTTCCAGTAACCGCCATCCCCACTGTTCCCCCACTTCTGTGACTGTCATCACACTTACAGAAGCCTCTCAGGTGAAAGAAAATTCAGGGTTTGAAAATGCACAACAAATTCTAAAGATGATAATCTCTTGACAATAAGGCTATGAAAAGCAGATTTAGGTTTAAATTATTTCTGAGAAAACCTGTGCTGTTGCTAGCTAATGCTGCAATGCTTGTTGAAATGAAGAAGAAAAGCCAATGTGATTGGGAATCTCAGGGACTCAAGACTTGGACATTGTTGTTGTCAGAAGAAGTGCTAGGTACATGTGCTTCATTCGGGAGGCATCTGTATGAGCTAATATGCTTTTATGATGGGTTTGGGGGTGTGTGTGTGTGTGTGTGTGTGTGTGTGTGAAGTTCAGTGTGACAACCTTTGGAGCAGTAGTCTCCATCCTCTGTAGCCAGCACCTAAGTCACTCTCTAGATAACAGGATAGCTGTGAGCTGTGACTTCAGGGACAGGAACTTACCCCGCCCTAAGGTTGAGAGAACCCAGCACTTCCACAAACTGAGAAGGTCTTCCAGAACACTGTAAGACTCTGAATAAAACCATGTTCAACCATAGCACCCCCCCACCATGTTTTAATGAAGTAAATGCCAGAGAAGGTGTTTAGTCTATTCAAATACATTTATTGAGAAAAAGAGAAATATATTTATACATGGATACAAAACACACAAACCTTATGGGCATCAAAACCCCTAAATAGTATTTTTTTTTTTTTTTGTAATCTGAAGGGTACTAAACTGTTAACTAGCCACTGCTGAGATAAAAATTTTAGGAATGAGGAAGATTAGTGATTTAGTTTCAGGATTCCAAATTTTCAGACTTGTGCTTGGAAATATTTTGCATGTGAATTAAAAAGATGTTAAGCCCCAAACGGCCTGTCCAAGCCAGAGAGATGGAACATTAAGACATTCCATTTGCTTGAGGCCATGAAGCTTTGAAAGATTCAATCTTTTTGATTCATTAGGTTTTAAAAACCCCATTATTCTAGCTATGGACAAACAGACCCAGATAAAAGGTGAAAATAAGAACCCTCTTTTCGGCAAAATTTCTACAGGATAGAAAGCAAGCTAGGAGGTCTACAGCAGGAGCCTGGATGGGCCCCTGGCATGTGGAGTCAGATATCCAGTGTCTCAGGACCAGTTTTGGTTTGGAAAGAGAATGGAGGCAGAAACTGGGTTTTACCTGCTGGTCTTCAGCTACCTTCCCCTGTAATTCCATCCCAGGGCCAGGTGAGAACAGCAAGTGGGACCTAAACTGACCAGCCCAGGGAGCTGAGACTCAGTCCATCTGCTCCAGGCTGCAGTAGATCTTTTCTCAATCACAGCCCATGGGATCATAAGCTTCCCCTGAGTCGTATTTGCATCCCAACACCTGGAACAAGATTAATACACATGAAGCAGTCACCCCGGTATCTTCCTCCCCTGGATCCACCAAGCCAGTGTCAAAAGAACAAAACTGAGGCCCATGGCTGCTCCCCTTGGGAAGGTGGCCGGTGCATTCTGGCGGCAATCTGCTTGAGCAAAATTTCAGGTCAGGGGATGCGAAGATGGTGGGGAACATGTTTGCTCGTGGGGCTGCCTGGATTCTGAGCCCCGACAGATGCCTCCACACATTGATACCATCCCCAGCCTGGACTTAGGCATTGCAGGCTCTGCTGTGTAGACAAATGAGAGTTTTGTAGAGGTTTCCTTCTGTGGCCCTGCTGACAACAGGTGCAGAGGCTCCGCGGCTCTGCTACTGAAAATAGTGCCTGGAAGGAAGGAAGTGGCCAGGCCTAATAGCGGGTTTTAGCAAAAATGTTAAGTCTGTCCAAGAACTGTGGAGGGATCAAGATATAGGACGTTTCAGCATTTACACAATCTTTAAAGAGAGCATTTTCTGGAGTCCTTTGACCAGTTTCTTAAAAGAAAAGCAGCATGTGTTCTGTTCCTCTAAGCGAGCTGCCCTTTGGAGGTTTGGTCAGTTTCTCTGTATCTGCTTTATAAACATGTTCAAACAGAGATCGCTGGCTCTGTGGAATGTATTGTGCTGGGATTGTGTAACTGCCGCCCAGTTAACCCCTTGCACACATTGCTGCAGCAAAACACCACCATTATGTGCAAACAGTTGCTTTTAGTAACACAACTGTTTTTGCAGGTGCAAAAAAATATTCCAGTGTGAGAGCATGAAGTTTCAGTTTCAGTTGAGAAAAATGTTTTCACATCTAAAAACACAAACATTCATCCACATGAATCACCAGGGAAAGAGAATACCCAAGATATTACATCTGCCCCAATAAAGCTGAGAATGCTGTTTTTCTCCAAATTGTCTCTTATGTACCAGTGCAAAGATGTCAGCATTTTGAATTCACAAGTTATCCTTGCTTCTGTGGTCTGAAGTTTCAGGATAATGTTAGCCGGCCAAGGAGGTGAATTCCTTATGGTTGGTGGTGGCTAAGCCTTTCTTCTTTCCTAGAATTAACACAGATCAATATTCTCTACAGAGTTTGCTCTCCAGTCTCCCAGTGAATGTACAAACTTGGTCTTCTCCTGGACCCAGCACTGTCAAGTCTGTAGCAGCTTTTCTTTGGAAAAGCTCTCATTTAGTGTTTCTAATTCAACTAGGAAACACAGGAGATATTTCACATATTCAGTCCTAACGTATTCACGGTACAGGCCAATGTGGATTTTAGTAAAACATGTGAAATACAGCCTAAAGCCATTGCTTGAATTTCACCTGATGGCTTCAGGGATCATTGTAACATGGGGTGATGA